TTGTGTCTAGCAAACTTAAAAAAACTTTAAATTTCGGCCCTCCCTGGTGGCACAGCGGGTTAAAGCACAGCACTGAGAAGCTATGCCACTTCCACGAGTTCGATCCCCGCCTGCCCCAGAGGTGACCACATGGCACGGCAGACCTCTCCTGACCCGCCTGCTGCTCCCCTCAGCAGTGTACTTCATCCATCTGCCTGTTCTGCTCCCCACTCTCTCTCTGGTGAAGCCTGTCCCCGCCCCTGAGCCTCTGGCCTGTACCCCAGTTCTGTATGCACAAATAAATAAATCTTAAAAAAAATTTAAATTACATATCACCACATAATCTAATTTAAAACCACAAAGTAAAATTTTTCTCCTAAATTGTTGAGAGTCTTAGTTACCTTTAAAAATACAGCAAACCAAAGTCTTGTCTTCAACATCTCATTCTCAAGGTACTGTTCCTGCTTATTATGGTTATTAAGATTCCTAATTTTTTATGGAAATTAAGGTTCCTAATTTTTTCTCAGTCACCTAATTATAAAGTGTTCTCAACCATTGGTCTATTTGTTGGTATTAAATACTGTTTTAGCGACCCCTAGTGTGAACCATGATATCAACATCTGTGCATATTCAAAATCCTTTTAATATTCAAAAACTTGGAGGGAGAAGGTGGGGGGGAAACTTGCCTACAGACAAAAATAACAAATAATTTTTCACATTTCATAAAGGAAATGTGACTTTGCTTCAATTTAAAGTTCCTTTTTTCCTGCAATAATAATAAAATTTAAATACAACCCTCAACAACTCAGAATGTGATTGTGTTTAGAAATAGGGCCTTCAAAGAGACAATTAAAGTAAGTAGAGGTCATTTGGGTAGACTCTATTCCAATATGACTTTGTCTTTACCAGAATAAATTAAGACACAGACACACACACACATATATACACGGAGGGAAAACCATGTGAAGATATAGAGAGAAGATGGTCACTGGCAAGTGGAGGAGAAAAAAAATCTCAGAATGAAACCAACCCTCCATCACTTTGAGCTTGTACTTCAGCCTCCACAATTGTGAACAAATAAACTTCTACTGTTGAAGCCACCCAGACTGATAGTTTGTCTTGACAGCCTAGTAAACCAATGCATCCTGGCTCTTATTTTTCATCTAGTCCCAAAGATTACTGATTTTGAGGAATTCTATCATATGGAATCATTCTTACTGTTATAAAAAGAAGATTAATTTGCATTGCTTTGCTTGAATAATCACAATTTTCATGAGGCTTTTACTGACAATTCTAAATTCATGTGGAAGAGTAAAGCACTAGGAATAGTTAAGACATCTATGAAAAAAGAAAACAGTATAAGCTTTCAATGTCAGCTATCAAGATTTACAATAAAGTTACAATAATTAAGATCCTGTATTACTGATGCAGGTACAGAGATTAATAAAACAGAAAGCCTAGAAAGAGGCCCGTTAATATACAACAGAAGCACTAAAGATGAGAGAGGAAAGAAATGGCCATTAATAGCAAATCAATTATCAGTAGGAGTTCGTTAACCATACAGAAAAATATTTATAAATTAGACACTTAAAGCAAAACAAAAGCTTTGTGATATAAAATTCTAAATATACAAAAACAAAAGGAAGAAAGTGAAGGAAGTTATTTTTTTATGACCCCCAAGGTAGAAAAGAAATTTGCTGGATTTCACTTTTAAACTCAACACTGAAGGCAGAAACCAGAAAGAATGATTGATACATTTGACTACTTCAAACATATTTTTGTTGTACAACAAAAGATAACAAATATGTAAAGATGAGCCACAGACTGGAAAAAAATGTTTCATTCCATATAACTGAGACAGTGTAGGTAAAAGAAATTTCAAGCCAGTAGTATAAAAGTTGCCTCTTGTTTCATTTAAACAAGGAATTGAATTGAGGCCTGAGCAAGGTTTAGTTGCTCAGTTACCTGTTTGAACAGGTAGACTAGATCACAGAATGGCAGACCCTATCCAAACATCCTGACCAAAGAATATGCCCTACCTGACTGACCAAGGTGCCAGTTAGGCAAAAAACATTAGATCCTGACTAATGATTATCTCACAATTTCCTGGAGGGGAGAAGGCTGAGAGGCTTTATGCAAAGTTGAAATGTAACCCATCGTGCTTGTCAGGGCATAGCCCTATCCAGAACAAACTATGCTGCTGGCCTCCTCAGCCCCTCTTTGTAAACCTACCTAACCACCAACACCCCAACTTCCCCCCTGTGCCAATGCCAAGCAGGATAAATTCTCCTTTCCAGCAGGGGTTCCTTCATGCACCATCCTTTAGTAAGCTTTGCCTGGTTCATCTGAGACTCTCTGGTGAATGCTTTCTTCTACAGGGTCTCGTGACCAAAACATGTATTTCTAAGATTTATTTTATTTATTTATAAATAAAAGAGCTGGGGTGTAGACCAGAAGCAGGGGATTGAGAAGGACAGGATTTGCCAGAGACAGAGTGGGGAGCAGAACAGGTGGACTGACTGAAATACGTTGCTGAGGGGAGCAGCCAGAAGACAGGAAAGGTCTACTGTGCCATGAGGGCCAGCTCTCTGGGAGTGGAACTCGTGCTTCAGTGGCTGGCAATGGCTTGATAGTGCTGAGACTTAACCCCGTGAGCCACCAAGGAGGCCTGACCAAAACATTTTTGACTATCTATAACTAGCAAGCCTGTTGAATATTAGTAAGAAAAGGAGAAACACAATAAGTAATTCACAGCAGAAATATAATTGGCCAATAAACACATAAAAACCATGTTCAGAATCACTGGTAAGCAGGGATCTGGAAATTAAAGAAAGCCACAATGAAATTTCATTCCAGCCTATCAGATTTTAATTTTTTTAAAAAATATCTAGGGACACTAAGGTTTGGAAAGGATGTGGGTGTAAAGATATTCTCATTCTGCTGGTGGGACAGCCAATTTTTATGAGCGCTTTGGAGCGCAATTTGGCTATATCAAGCAAATGTCTCAACAGCTTTATTCTCACATGCCCTAGAGAAAACCCTTTACACTTGTAAAACATATACACAAGAATGTTTATTGCAGTTTTATTTATAATAGCAAAAGTGTGAAATTAAATGCCTGTCATTAAATGGACAGGTTATGGTAGAAATGAACTAAAGCTCTATATGAATATGGATACTGATGAGGACAACAAGCAAACCTAATAACAAAGCATACAGGATTTCATAAAAAGCTTTGATATACTCATAATAGTAACACCTATTATTTATGGATATATAATTTTCAGCAATCAATTAAAAAAAAAGGCTCTGGAAATAAAATCTCAAGTCAAGATAATAACCTGAAGTCAATAGATTAGGGAGGGGACCATGGAGAACTTAAAGTTTACTTGGATAATTTCATTTCTTTAAAAATACAAAACAAAAACAAATAACAGAGGCAGAAACAAGAAAATCGTAGAACAAGATTTGACGTATTTGGATGTAAATTCACATGTATGCCTGTTAAATGGTTTCTACCCATTAGAAATGAACGTTTGTTTTAACAAAATCTAAGCAGAAGAATAAAGCTTTTTTTTTTTTTTTTGGTAAATGCACTTGGTACCATAAGGAATATTTTGTCTTTTTTAAAAATAAAAAATTATATATTTAATGGGTACAATATGAGAATACATATCCATAGTGAAATGATTACTATAGTCAAGCTAATTAATATAGTCATCTCTACTTAGGATAGAAAAGTTACCCTTTTTCCATGGTGAGAATACCATAAATCTATTCTCTGGGCAAATTTTATTAACAGACAGCACAGTATTAAATTAGTCATCATGCTGTACACCAGAGACCTAGATTCATCCTACATAACTGTGCGTTTGCACCAGAATAAAACTACTGAAAAGCTAGCTTTCTCACAGTAAAAAGCTCCTTTTACTTGACTGTAATGTACTTGCTTATCCAGTTATCAAACATTTTTCGAGATCAAATTTGAAAATACAATCCTCTGCCAGACCATGGAAGTGGTCAAACCCCCAAAGAAGCATGTTTATCTAAAAGATATCTCCAAAAGCAAACTAATTTTCTCAAATATTTTGTATTCGCATAAGTGTTCTTTAGCAAAAAAAAAAAAGAAGAAGAAGAAAAGCATCTGCAGCTGTATTACCGAAGAGATATACAATATGCAAAGAGGAAGAATTTACATCTGTCTGGCATAGCCAAAGCCAATTTCAAGGAGATGCTTTAGAGCTGACTTAAAGGGAGAAGTGTTTGCCAAGGGAACAAAAGCATTCCCCGTGGAGGGAACAGCTTGTACAAAACACTGGAAACACGAGCAGCCGGGCACCGTGAGAAGCACGGGCTGGTGGGGCGAGGCGGGGAGATTCGGTATCAGTCAGCTCAAGATCCTGGGGAGCTACGAAGAGCCCGCACGCCTGAAACGGGTACAGTCCGTCGGTGTCCAGGCAGGAAACGCCGCCCTGCCCGCGGGGAGTGACGAGGACGCCCCCCAACTTGCGGGAGACACGGCTGAGAGCACCACTGGCACCCCCCAACCCCACCCTCCCCCGATTCCAGGATTAACCATGCCTGGTGGTGAAAGGGACCGGGGCCTCCACGTTATCTCCGGGAACGGAATTAGGCCAAGAGCTCATTTTCACAATTGGCTTGTCGCCCTGCCCTACTTGAGTCTCTCATCTCCTCTCAACCCCCCAACACTCAGGGAGGCTCTCCGCCTCCCAGACGGCCTCCCAGATTAGGCCGCGCACCGGCTCTCACACGGTGACCAGCGGCAGCACAAGCCCGCGCGCAGGAACTGGAGACCACAAGTCCCAGAATGCAACGCTCGGGTTCAGAAAACCGCCGCCGCACAAACAGGCCGGCAACACGCCACGGAAGGGGCGGGGCTTTCTAGAAGGGCGGACTACTGTGGCGTCGCTTAGGCAACTCCAATTCTGCGACAGAAAACACTTCCGCTTCCGCTTCTGAATCGTTCCTCCGCGAGCTCACGGAGGTACGTCGCCGTGACGCCATTCGTCTGCGACTGCGCGGGTCCGGAACTTGCGTGCGGTGGTGGCTCTCCGGCTTGTAACTCCGGCAACTCCTTGTCTACGGCTTCTGACGGGGTAGCTAAGGGGAAAGCGTCGAGATGACCGACCGCTACACCATCCACAGCCAGCTAGAGCACCTGCAGTCCAAGTACATCGGCACCGGCCACGCCGACACCACCAAATGGGAGTGGCTCGTGAACCAGCATCGCGACTCCTACTGCTCCTACATGGGCCACTTCGACCTTCTCAACTACTTCGCCATCGCGGAGAATGAGAGCAAAGCGCGAGTCCGCTTCAACCTGATGGAGAAGATGCTGCAGCCTTGTGGGCCTCCGGCTGACAAGCCTGAAGAGAACTGAAGCCGCCTCTGCCTGCCTTCTCTATGTTGCGGTCTTGCCCTCGTGTGTCCGCCCACATGGACCGATTCTCCATGGCTCCAGCCTCTCTTCCTGTCTTTGTAAAAAGGCGCCTACCTAGGGCGTCCCACGTGACTTGTCTTCCAGTGACCCCTCCAGGACCCCAGATATCTGCGACCTTGCAGAGATCCTAAACCCAGCAAACACTAGGGAAGGCGTTTGTGATAACGGACTTGGTAGCTCGTGAGGTTTTTTTTGGCCTAGTTGGTTGCCATTGTTGCTTTTTCCATAAAATTTAGAAAACTTCAGACTCTTGGTGTGGACTGTTTGTGTTTGGGTAGGGTCTGTTTAGGGCTCTAGGTCCTACAATTTGGTGGGAGTCCGAAGGAGGGGAGGGGGCTCGGCCAGTGTTCACTTGTTAGAAATGTCAGTCTGATCTGCTTGATCCCTACAGTATTCTCCCACCCTGACTTCTCCCCAGAACCTTTTACCAGGCCTACTAATGCCTTCATTATTGAGGTTTGTGATATTTGTATCCCACCTTTCCCTCCTCTCATTCAAAAAGAAAAAAATGCTCTTGTCCTCATATCTCTGTAAATTGCATCCTTTTTCTCTTGGAACTACCATTTCTTGAGCCTTGTCAAGTAGGCAAACTAGTTCATTCAACATCCAACAAATACTTGCTGAGCTCTATGTAGAGCATATTTTTCTAGGCATTTGGTGCTTTTGTTACTCTATTCCTGAAGAGTGAGGCCCGTGAACTGTAGATATAAATAAGCAAGTGTTAGAATAATGCTGTGGGGGGTTAGAGTAGCGGTACCCTCGAAGTATTCAATAGAATGCTTATGTTATAGTGACCAAAGACTTTATTTTTTTTAAGAATTAAATTTTATGAATACAAAAGCTTGTATGTAGGCCAGAAGTGGGGGGTGAGAGGATTCACCAGAAATAGTAGGGACAAATAGAGTAGGCTGAGCTACTGAACTACAGTGCTGAGGGGAGCAGCGGGTGGGTCAGGAGAGGTCTCTGCGCCTTGTAGGTCAGCTCCCAGGCCAGGAATCAAACTCATGCTGCAGTGGCTGTCCATAGCTTCAAAGTGCTGAGACTCAACCCCTGCACCACCAGGGAGGCACCTGACCAAAGACTTTAATAAGGGAAATGATCATGCAGAAAACCAAGCCACAAGAAGAGAACTGCCAGTGTGGTACACACGCTGGGATTCTGACTGGCTAACAGCAATGGCAAAGAGGTGAATTTGGCTGGGGAAGTGGGCAAGGGGAAGGGACAGAGGAGGGGCATCAGATGAAGGTAGAGTCTGGTAGGCCAGTGGAAGGACTTGCAGCTTTCACTCTTTCAAAGATTGTTGTGATATGATCTCAGATATTTTAAGTCAGTGGCTTTCAAACATTTGGGCCTTGGGATTCAATACATTACCGTTGTTTAGGAAGACTTTGGTTGTTGATATCCACTAAATTAGAAATTAAAACAAAAGTTTTAATACTTAGTATTTTGAAGAAAATGAAACCATGGCAGGCTAGCAGAAACATTTCTTATAGAAAGCAACTATTTCCCAAACAATTTTAATGAAAAGAATGGCTTTTTTGTAAAAACAATTTTGCAGATGCCTTAACACATTACAGTTGGGGTCTCATGTCTTCTGCATTCAACCTGTTGGGATGCGAAGTTTAGGTTGAGTATTTAAAAAATCCTATAAAGAACTACATATTACAAGGTAAGGGGAAAACTTTTAATAGTCTTTTCAAATATTCTTTGATACTCTAGCAAACCCCAACAAATGGGGATTTCATAAAAGTCACCACGTGGAATCTGAAACTAGATTAGTGGATTCTTCATTCTCTGTTACATTAAAATTAATCTGTCTTGAACTTTGAATGGCTCTTATACCAGTCATATTTATGAATACCACTGCTGTTTGATTAGTATTGAAAAGCTGAAAAATTCACAGTAACATTATAAGTGTTCCACAATTTTAAGTTATTGCTTATAAACTTTAATTTTAGCAGTTAGCAAATGTCTCTTCTTTGAAATGGCAGGAATACAAATATCAACACTAATATTCCCCCCCCCTGCACCCTCCTCCCCATACAAACCTTGGTAAGGGCATGCAAAGTGGGATGAGAATGAGCTCATGCCCCTAACTGGAGGCTGCAGCAAAGCAGGAGATGGCATCTGCCTTTCCCTGGAAAGAGAGGAATGGACGGATGTATAGTAGAGACAATTAAATGTAGACTTAGTTAAAGCCCTCCATGAACTGGCTAGAATTCTTAATATTATATTGCTAGGTTTCACAAGATTAAGGATTTTTGTCTGTTTTATTATCTGATATACTCTAGTGTGTGAGTTCAAACCTGTTACATCATAAGTTCAATAAATGATAAGTTGATTATGGAAAGGGGACTTGTTCTAGTTAGAGACCCGGTCTAGTTAATTTATGTTCATAGCATTTTTCAGTTTTAACTAAATGGGTAATAAAGGAAAAATGTTTGAAAATGTGCTTCCTAATAGTAGTAATACAGCAATAGCTTGTATGGTATCCTTGTATTATCGTTAACAAAAGAAACAGGTTCATAAAATTTGCCCAAGGTCACAGATACTGTGCTTGCAATTCTCCTAAGCCGGGATTCATACCAGGTCTTTCTAGCTCCAAACTATAAAGTCTTAAATATACTGTTGCCCAAACAGGTTTAGGATGTATATAATAATCATAATAATTTGAAGCCAGCTACCATCTCAGATAGAAAGTAGAAATATTAAAAGTTTACTAGATTATATTGAAGGAGTTAACAGACCAATACGAATGTTATGTAATTCAAAATAAAAACAGTAACTTCAAATACATTGGATAAAGATTTTAATGGAAAGAACAATTTTGTTGGAGGGGGTAAAATCAAGGATCTGAAAGTAAAGCATGGTCCAAATAAATTATTAAGCTCATTCTTTTTTTCTGGTATAAAATAATATTTATATCAAACACAGGAGGGCAGCAAATGATGCTCTGATAAAAATTACTCTTGAATAAGACCTCTAAAATGTAGATTCTTGCTAAATTGGGAGAAATTGACTGTTTGCTTATAATGTTGTAAATAGTCATTTTGGGGGCTGTATAGAGATGAACATGTTTTTCATTGAGTGACAAGTATGTAGCAATTATTACAGGTCACTGTTATTTTTACAAGGATGGGACAAGATCTGAACCCTACACTTAAAAGCATGTTTGTTGGAAAATAAAAATAACCCATTTATAGTAGCAAGTGGTAAGCACTAAAGAGAAACATAGCTATGGGAATTTATAGTGAAGAGAGTATTACAAACTGCTAGTGAGGGAGAGCATGAAGATTGTGTTGAGGAAGAGGCTTCTGAGCAGGACTTTGAGTGACAGGATTTGTACATATTCAGAATGCAAGGCACTCTGGTGGGAGAATGATCAGCTGCCCTCACAAGCCCAGGGAAATTCAGACCACTCATTACCATTAAAGCCATTGCATTTCTTCCAGTAACTTAGGATTTATAAGATCCTCCATTTGCCTCCTGCTTTTTCATAAGGCTGGAAAAGCAAGTTAAAGTTCAAACCCCAGTATGATAATGACATTAACAGGTACTGAGTGGCCACTGTGTGCCAAAAACTTAACAAAAATTATCTCAACCTTCCTTACCACCCTGCAAGGGTATATCCCATTCTACCAACAAGCAAACAGGAGTGAGAGATATATATTGTTTGCTTAATATCATCAGCAGTAAATGGTGGTGCCAGGACTTACATTTGGTTCTGATTCCAGCATCCCGGCTCTTCATCCAGTAGGCTAAGGTTTCCAAAATTAAACATCATAGTTTCATGCTTCAAATTATTATTATTTTTTATGTTCTGAAGTAAGAAATTTTGCCTAACTCATCACTTCCTAAACTAATTTCATCACTTTCTTTTCTGGAGAAATATTTAAGATAATTTTGAGAAGTATCTTTTCTTCTTCTTTTTTTTTTTTTTTGATGATGGTGGGGGAGATGCTGCTTTCAGCAATGAAATAAATTTGAATAGAGAAATGATGTATTTGCTGGACTTGAAGAAAATGAGTCTGGTGCTGTGTGTAGAATTCAAAACCACGGGTAACGTTCCTTTCCTCAGATTGCAATTCCCTCTGCTGAAAATGAACACCTTTGTGAGTGGAGAGATCTTTGTACTCTGATTCTTTTCATCTCTCTCAGACTAACAACTTACAGATATTAGATATTAATATTAGATGTTAGAAAGAAAAGAGACTTCATTATATCGCACAAATTAGTTATGAAGCTATACCTAGGGTTCATTCTTTTCCAAGACAAAGGCATGGAAAAAAGACATTATTGAGGAATTTGGACATTTTTGATGACTGTTTTTACTAGTGTCTGGGAGATGTATACTGACAAAGCATCAGCAGATGCTTTGCAGCCATTAATTGGTCTACTTCAGAGAGATGATAATTTGTTCTTAATGTAACCGGCTTTTTATCTAACATCCACATTCTTTCCAGGCTTTTCATAGCCTTCATTTTCCTCACCTACAATACGCACAGCACACTACCTCCCCAGGCACTTAGCATAGAAATAGTGAAAACCAGAAACTGTTGAGGGCGGCTGGTAGGAAATCAAGACATGGAAGAATCCATCTCTTCTCTCACAGGGCACAAATGGTCTGCTCCAAATGGCCCTTTGAAGCACTATCTCTTTGATCTGTGTTACCTCGGAATCCTTCCTTTTCTCCAGTTCTCTCATTTCCTATCCACTGTCCTCAGCTGTTATCTTGTTCCCCCAAGCCTTGCCTCTTATCATCATATCCTCCTGCTTTAATGAAATTTATCCTTGTTTCTACCATGTCTCCTCACAAAAGCAGTGTTCTTCAAAACAAGTATCTTCATACTATTGCAAATGGGGAGGCAGGGAGTTCTATAGGTAGTTTTAGAGGTTGTGTACAGCATCAAAAAGGTTAGGGTATTCACTTCCTCAGCCCCACTCTCCTTCAAGCCCTCGACTAACAGACCAGAACCCTTGTCTCCCTTCTGGTCCAACTGTCTAGTTCAGAATTGTGCCCTTTACAATGAAGCTACTATCACAGTCCTCTCTCATTCAGTTTTTTTTCTTTTTTTAAGATTTATTTATTTGTGCATACAGAACTGGGGTACAGGCCAGAGACTCAGGGGTGGTGAGAGGCTTCACCAGAGACAGAGCGGGGAACAGAACAGGCAGATCGATGAAGTACACTGCTGAGGGGAGCAGCGGGCGGGCCAGGAGAGGTCTGCCACGCCATGTGGTCACC